ATATATATATATTTATTATTAATTATAAATTATTTTATTAATAATTTGTGTATTTATCTGAACGAAATGTAGAAAAAAAAAAACAATTTTCAATCTTACTGTTCCATTATTAATTATCGAAATGCATTGGCATTCGTATTAATATCGATTCGCGATTACGTTTTCTTTTTGTTACACCATTGTGAACAACGTTAAGATTGATCGCAAATGATTGCTTTTCGATTACGTTTAATTATTAATAACGCGTTTTACGATGAACGTTATACGATAAAAAAGAGAATGAATAAGAGTATATACACACACATACATATATATATATAATATATAATGTATAACTAACACATAGATATTTTATCTTTCAGCAGTTCGTTGAGTGTAACACCCACGTGCAAGCAATTCAGTCAGTGCCGAGGAAAATATAAACGAGAAAGAAAGAAAGAAAGGAAGGAAGGAAGGAAGATGGTATTGACCTAGTTTTGATGCACCATGCAATATGGCTTATTCTTTTTTCAATTATCCTAACTCACGATCACACAATTTAAACGAGAATATAAAAGGAATAAAAAGAAATAAGGTGTTATCATTAAACCATACATCTGAATTGTTCTATTCGAACAAATAGAAAACAAAATTACAATTTAAATAATTGAATAATAAAATAACAACAACAACAACAACAAAACTTATGCGAGTAAGAAAGAAATAAAGTGGAATATGTTTAAAGGGATGCGCGAACAAAATATTTCAACTAAGAAAATTACGGTCAACGAATAAATAATATTGGAACGTAATTAAAATGATGGCATGCAACATGACGTATGTTAAAACGAAACAAGATGCGAAAACTGGAACGAGAGAGATTTATTCTCAACTTTCCTCAAGACCTGACTCATCGTCGTCATCGTCAACCCTCCTCCTCCTCCTCCTCCACCTCCTTCTTCTTCTTTTCATACAAGTGTGTCCGGCCGATGGACGTTGATGATTCGTTACAAAAATATACATTGCTTGCACTTTAAGCCCATGATGTCGTGCGAAGAATTTCACCTTGACGAGAGAATTATTCCTAGAGACATTTGACGTAACTGTTCGTACAAATATGAAGGGTAAAGTGCCCGTGATGCTTTTGCATTTTCTAATCTTCTCTCTCTCTCTCTCTCTCTTTCTTGTTCTGTGTTTCTTATTCGTTAAAGTTTCCTCAATATATATTGTGCATACAATTATATTTTTCAACAACGTTTCGTAATTTCAAACCCACCACGAATACCGCCGACAATTTGAATTTTCAATAATTTTTAAATGACCCGCGAATTATTCGAATCTACCAATCAGAATGAAAGCGCTATTCGGTCGAACTTTAGCGCGCCATTTTTGAATTTGTCTGCTTAACCCTTTACCCTGTTGGACTCTGATTGATTGATTATCGGAAAGTATATATATAACATACGAAAGATTTTTAAAAATAAAACGAATTCATATCAAATACGATATATATATATATATATATATTCTTTATGTATGGGTGAATTTGTGTCTGACTGTGTGTACGTGTGTGTATGGGCGTATGCATGTATGTGCGTATATATATTTTCTGATTTATATTGTATAAAATTCACGATACTCTTGTATCTCCTAGATGTAATCGATTGTACATCGAACTATTAATGTTTCAATGTATATCTTGTATTCGTATTATAAATTTAAAATAACACACATACCATATATATATATATAAACATTGAGAAATTGATTATGAATTATAAAAAATCGTGACGGTTAAGTCATACCCATAGAATTTTGATTGAGCTGTACTATTGTAATTATAAGTATTGCCTAATTGAAATTCAGTTAAGTCAACTTTCGCTTTGGGTCATGAATTTTTATATTTCGTAATCAATTTTTTATATTCCGCACTTCGCGTATATTGTATATATATATATATAATGTATTATATATATATATACATTATAAATACATAGATACAATGTTTTATGCAAACGAGACACTATTGAAATGAATACAAAAAATGCTTATTTTATTATATAATTATTAATATATGAACACTCTTTAAGTGTACATCATGTATTATGTAACAAAAACTATATCGATTCAATGAAAGTATTTAACGTTAATTGAATTTATTAATACGTCCAAATTGTTATATAATAATTAATATGTAGAATTATTTATATCATGTGTGATACTTGTTTTATTTCAAAATACGATATTACGATCAGCATTAAATATTTTTGTTGTATAAACCGCGAATTTATATCGAGTTACGTTGACGTTTCATATGCAACAACCGTGTGTCTCGTCGAGAACATTATTTTATTACTATTATTATTATTATTATTATTATTTATTCGAAGAATGTGTTAACGTTACGTAAAAATAAGAAATGTTATTGTTATATTGAGAAAATTTGTCCATATAAACACATAAATACTTTTTCCTTCTATTTATCATCGATTTAAAATAATATAAATACGTATATACCTTTTTAAATAAAACAAAATTGAATATTAATTGTTCCGATAAAAACCAAAAAAAAAAATGAGATAACCATTTGTACGTGCATTTACGAGATGCAAACGTAATAAAATGTATATGCACATTTTCGAAGATGACTTTTCCAGATTATATACGAAAACATATGAATTTTCTATACCCATATATTTATTTCCTAAACGAAGTAAACAAAATTCTATCGTTAATTAATATTTTAGCATTTAATTGTTCAACATTAAATATATATATATAGAATATGGAATAATAAATCATTTTTCGATATCATTGTTTTATTACAACCGATGCAAGCAACGCGTATAAAAATAAAAAAATAAATTATTTTAAATTTCTCTGATTTATATATTAAAATATCATCATTTTTATTTAGATTTATGTGTATCTCTGTTATTTTTATTTTATTTATTATAAAAATGATATATTTATTTTATCGATGGAGTCAGAGTAAAATTAGGATCGTTGATGATGATGATGATTAAAATGATACTTGATGGCAGCACCGGTATGTTTTTATATAAATTCAAAAACTAATTTTTTTTGTTATCAATTTACATCGATATTATTTTCTTTTTTTGTTATTTATGTTCTTTATTTTTTCTCTGCTTATTGAAATTCATTAAAATAATTACAATTAATTTTATTTTCATAAACGAATGAATTACAAAAAAAAAAAAAAACGATTAATTAGGAGAATAATTATTAAAAATAATGAATATCGAATAAAGGAAAGCGAATGATATTCTTTTATTTTACGATTATTCTTATAATTTTGTAATATTGGATTAACATATAAATAATCATATTAATAATTCGAGCAAATAAATATTTTTTTATTTAGCCAAAAGGAGAATATTATTTTAAATTATCCTAACTAACTACGATAAATTATACTTAAAATATATATATATATATCTAAATGTTACAAGTTATGTGAAAATAAAAACATGATTTCTTATCGTTTGTACTCGAGTCAAGGAAAATAAGTGTGAATAAAAAAGAAGAAATAAAAAAAAAAAAAAAAAAGAAAAAAGAAACCACCCTCGTCCTTTTTTTTTCTTTCTTCGAACATTTCGCTAAATAATTACGGAAATGTTTGAAGCATTGA